TTTTTTTTTTTTTATCCCTAGAAACACACAGCCATGGGGGCATCCACACATGAAAAGTAAATAAATAAATAAATAAATAAATAAATAAATAAATTTAAAAGCCTCAGAGAACTGCAGAGTAATTACTGTTTTTTTTTTTTGTTTTTTGTTTTTTTTTTTAAATCAGTGGACAGTAACCTTTTCTGATAGGTTACTGTGTCTGATAGGTTTCTTGTGTCTTTCTATTTTCTCTCTTGAAATGAGTATAGAATTTACTATAGACCAGCACAAAATAAACACTCTATTTGAAGAATTATCATTGGAGCTTAAATGAGAAATAATAAGTTCATTACCATGTCCCAAGTTTTTAAATAAAAGAGCTCCATGATTCTATCAGTGTATTTAATACTTGGGAAAGTGTTCAAAAAATGGTGTTTGCATTTTACTAACAAAATCTTCTTTAGTATACATCTATAGCCTACCAATCCTATATTTCATGATGAAAAGGGACCACAATGGTAAAGTTTTTGGTAATGTGTATTTCCTTATGTTAATATGACGGTGTAACTCTACACTCAGAAGAGTGCTAAGCATGTGAAATGGGCCTTGTGAGAAACAGGCAAGTAACAGAAGCAAACAGGCCAGAACCCTGTCACTAACAGGCAAGTACAAAAAGCAACAGGAGTGAGTTAAGAAGCCAGAGCAGGAGACAAGGGTTTATCACCTGTTTCTTCCACTCAGATTCAAGTGTTCTCTTTAGCCATAATATTTCTCACTTAACACAGGGGCAACACAGTTACCAAAAGAGCTACTAAAACAGCAAGTGCAACAGTGTTTGTAAAAAACATAAATCTACAAATAAAAGAATAGGTAAGCAATTTTATAAATTGCTCTATTCCAAAACATATTACAACTTTTAGAGCCAGATGAAAGCTTCCTTCGGTAAGTACAGTTGTATTTCATAGACTCCAACTTTAAGTCCTCCAGTCATCAAAATTGTCTATGCTATTAATGAAATGTGTATGTGTGAGAGAGAGCAATGGAGAGGGAGGGAGGGAGGGAGGGAGGGAGGGAAAGAGGGACGGAAGGAGAGGAGGGAAAAAGGGGAGGGAGGGAGGAGTTCACAAAGGAGAACTTCTGACACCAGATAAAGCATAGCAAATAAGAATCTGGGAAAAGGCTGATGGGTATTTATTCGGGGAGAAATCAGTTACACCAGAAACAGATGACCGCTGCAGGTTCCCATCCCAAGGATGTCTCTGGACGCTCTCTGTCTCCAACCAGGAAGTAAGAGAGTGAGCTGGGGTCCAGGACCCCAGACCTAGTTCCCCCAGGTCATGCCGGCACCTGTCTTCACGCCCCAATGGGCATGGTCAGTGTAAAAGCTATGGGTAGGGTATGTATCTCACTATAATTCCCCTTTTAGTCTAAAGAAAAGATTTAGGCTTGATACAAAACTATATAAAAAGACAGTAAACATCAAGTATGCTCTAGGAAAAGGAAAATTAAGAACATACAAACTTAAGACCTATTGTCAGTGACATAACAAGAGCAAATGGCAAGAACTACAGTTGAGAATCTCTTGATGGAATGTATTTATTTATTACTTCTAAGTCCCATTATTCTAAGTTGGAAGGTAGGATCTGTGTCACTGTTGTTCCTCAGAGTGTCTTCCTGGCCATTATTTCCTCCACCTGTTATACACCCTCACTCTGTAGAGGCGTGTTCCACTTAGCCATAACCTTCTTCTGCTCCTGCCTGCTGGCAGATTATCGGCTAGTCAATTCCCTCCTTTGCAAAGTCTGGCACCTGGCTCAGTTTCCTGTAGAAGGGCTTTCAATGTTAGTGTCAATCAAGTTCCATTCTCTCTACCTCATATCCAATGAGCTTTGTCACTCCACCTCTGCCTCATATGTGAGATATGTCCCAGAAGGAGTTACCACTTATAAACTGACTTACCTTCAAATCCTTCACCAAGCACCTCATTTTCTGACTTCATCATCCTGCCCTTTCAGCATGATTAAGTACGTCAGCCATAACTATTTTCAGACTTATTTGAGAAGGCCTAGTTACAGTAAATTTCACCCAACTTCCCAGCTCACTTTGACCTTCTACTTCCTTTTTCTTCCAGGTCACTCTTTCAATTGTATTTGTGGAGTTACCTTCCACTTCTGGGTTTGTCAGGAAAATTGCAAAATCCCAATCCAAACTAACCCAACTACCTCGCTGTTTGTTGCCAACCACAGTTGCTAACTCTGACTGTAAATGAACCCTTCAAACTCTGTAACTTTTCCCTAGTCAATATACTTTTCTCTCCAATGGCTATTTCAGTGTTTCTATGTAATTCTCAAGCTTTATACCTCTACATAGTATTACTTCCTCTGTAACAAGGAAAACAGCTCCATGAGCCGGGAACTTCCTGCTATCAAACAAACACCTGTTATCTACTGGGACTACTCTCTTGCCTTCTATGAATACATAGATATGCCTCCCCATCCCCTAGACTCAAGTTACTACAGGTGGTAAGAAGCTCATCAGCAAAGGCATGTAGATAATCACATTCACTAAAGGCTTATTTCAGAAAGGCCACATCTGATCTGCCAAAAACTGCCAAATTTCTCTCCTAAATATCTAAAATATAGTCACCCAAATCCAAAATAGTACCATCTCTCAGCAAACTTTAAACACAGGACGCTTCCTTTACTAATCAACTCTTGAAAATATGAATCTTAGACTAGAAAGACACATGGTGCTTTAGAATATTTGTTGCTTTTGGAGAGGATCAGGGTTTGACTCCCAGCAACCTCATCTATATGCTTAAATTCAGGGAACCCAACTTCCTCTTCTAGCCTCCTCTGGGACCAAGCACACTCGGCACACAAACATACACGCAGGCAAAACACACATATGTGGTAGAATATTATTTTAAGTTGTGTTACTTTTGTTGGTGCTGCATATGTTTAACTCTGTGAAGCTGTGATTCTCTGCCAGTCTAAAACACTTGATGGCCTAATAAAGAGCTGAACAGCTGGCCAATAGTGACACAGGAACAAAGATATTCGGGGCTGGCAGGCAAAAAGGATAAACAGAGGAGAAACGAGAAAAGAAGGAGAAAGAGAAGGAGAGGAGGGTATCAGAGGCTGGCCACACAGGAAGGTAAGATACACAGAAGAAAGATGAAAGCCCAAAAGGAAAAGGTAGATGGATTAATTTAAGAGAAAAGCAAGCTAGAAACAAGCCAAGCCAAGGCTGGGCATTCAGAAGTAATAACAAGTCTCTATGTATGAATTATTTGGAAGGTGGGTGGTGGGCCCCTCAAAAAGACAAAAGAGCAAAAAACATCACAGAACACACATACATGTAAAATAAATAAATATTAATTTTTTTTAAAATATTAATGATGTTCTGACTTCCTCCCAATTAAAATGCATGATAAGGATGATCTTTTTCTTTTAATTGAGTAATTATTTAATGAAAATCTGTGGTGATGTGAGAGACTCAAATTACTAAAGGGGTTAGAGGATAATCAACAAAGACATGCAAGTAATCAAAATATGTAAGACTGCATTCACCAATCACACAGGCCACTGCATCAGGTTGGGAACACAAAAATGAAAAAGAAAAACTGATCCCTTGTCTAATGAAGCCAACCAAGGAATTTGGCCTAGAGGTGGGTATGACATGACCATGAGTAGAGACAAATCAGGAGCTCTCTCCATTGATAATTGGATCACTTTGCAGGTGTGATATGTATCAGGGACATAAGAATGAACCTTGAAAAAAGAAGCAATTGCAGACTTTTGAAGGTCTAATAGACAAGCCTGGTACAGATTTCAAAGCCAAGCTAAAGCTCTGGATCTCAAATGATGATAAGGGCCTTCCCTAATTTTGAGCAGGAGACAGCAAACATATATGTAAAAAGCTGAAGCAAGATAGCTTTGAGTTCAAGGCCAGTCTGGGGCCAAACCATGGGACACAGTCTCAACCAGACCCAGCCCAAATTTCAAGAATTTGGGAAGTCAAATTATCAATATATTTTAGGTGCTAGCGAGCAAACCCAGGGAAAGGAAAACATGAACCACCACCACCGCCGCCGCCACCAACAGGCCTATGTGTTTGAAATCTCAGTCCCCAGCTGGTGGCACCATTCTGACCATTTTGAAAGACTATGGAAGAGGGGAGGACTAGCTAAAGGAAGTGAGTAAATGGGGCGCTAAGCCTTGAGGATTATAGGCTGGCTCTATCACCCTGGCTAACTGTCAGAATGCCTTCTCTGCTATGACAGACTATATACCCTGAATCCTAAGCCAACATCAACTTTTCCCTTAAGTTGTTTCTGTCAGGTATTCAGTCATAAAAGCAAAAGTTAAGTAATCCAGGACTTCAGAGTTTTATGACGGATCTGATTCTCACTTGCCATCAATCCCATCATTCAACTCTCCATCTCACTGTCCTCTGCCACGTGCCCATTTTCCAGTTCCAGCCATGTCCTCTTGTAAAAGGCTTTTGAATATGCTATTCTTTGTGCCTGAGACACACTTCTCTCACCTTTTCATCTGGTTAACTCATCTTTACTTTTTTAGAACATGGCTCAAATGCCATCTTCTCAAACAAAACTTCTTTCATCTCCTAGACCAGGATCTATTCTCAACTAAATCGTCAATCCTAGACACATGAAACTATCTAAGGTTTGTAATGTTTTTAAATATGTGTGTGTGCATGCTTAAATCTGAGATAAATGAATGTTGCTACTGGAAGTCACTAAAGTATTTTAACCACATATGTACCCTTCAACAAATTCCTCCCATATTATTCCAGAAGCAATCATAGTGATACAAGCCTCAATTTCATAGCGCTAACCATAATTCCAATTGAACTCTTCCCTGTGACATCTGCCTGGGGTCTACCTCCTCTATTTTATAACATATGCTCTAAGACAGTAGTGTGCTTTCTATACAGGAATGAATCCCTAGTGCTTACCCTGATCTCTGATGACATAGAGTATGCTGTCAATGCCTTACCTTTTAAATCTTCCATCAATTCAAACATTCCAGGATAGTTAACTTGAATTTCATCAGTATCCTATTTTTAAAAAGAAAAACATAATATTCATGTGACAATAACAAACAAAAAAATAAAATTCCAGCTTTGGAAAGTAGCTATTACTCCCAGACCACACTCTCACAGTAGGCAGGGAATTTCCCTGATCAGAGCCTTATATAAGGCAAGTGTCTACTAGTGAGCTCTATCTTCACCAAGAATTGTCTTGTTTTTAATATTCTTCACAAATGTTATAATCCTAAAACTCTAACAACTGATGCCAGTTTCTCCTTTGAAAACAAAATTAAATCACTTTTATTTTATTTATTTATTGAGACAGGGTCTTACTAGACTAGATGGTTCTGGAATTTACTATATAGACTAAGCTGGCCTCAAACTCAATGATCTAGCTACCTCTGCCTCTGCCGAAATTAAAGGCCTTTGCCACCATGTGCGGCTTCTTGTTTTTTGTAAGATTCCCCCAAAGGGGTGTGCCATTCTTGCTACTACAAGACCAAGTCAGGCAAGGAGTGGACAAAGCCAGCACCTATTCAATCTCCCAACTCTAAACATCCATTTAACATACTGTGCTTTGATAGAAGACACATTAAGTATCACACTGCAAAGAAAAGACCTGTCACCTTGACACAGTGGAGAATCATAGGGAAGAGAATTATCAATGAGTGATTGTCTAGGTCAGGTTTGCCTGTGGGGACTGTCTTGATATGGGAAGATCTGTCCCACTGGGGCAGAACTATTCCTGGGACTGCATATGGATTGAAGAAAACTGGAAAAAGTTCTAAGAACATTTAAAAACTGGGAACCACTAGCTGAGTAATAAGAATCCATGCATTTATTCTCTTTCTGCATGACTGTTGCTTCAAGTTCCTGTCTTGGGTAGAGGGATGAAGTATCAGATGTCAGGAAGAGAATTCTTTATACTTCCAACCTTGTTCTATCCCTTCTCCCTATACATACATTTCATTATTCCTTCCTAGTACTTTAAATATACATGGGTCGGTGGGTGTGTGTGTGTGTATATGCGCACATGCGCGTGTGAGAGACAGAGAGAGTGTGTATATGTGTGTGTGAGAGAGTGTGTGTGAGAGAAATAAAAAAAGAGAGAGAGGGAAAGATAGAGATCATTGTTCATAATAGTGCAGGAATTGGATTCAGAGCCTCACACTGGCTAGATAAGGGTTCTGCCAATGAGCAGACATGAGAATCTAAACCTCTTTTACTAAAGCACACACAAAGGCAATTTATAAAACCCCACAGTGTGACACTGCTTTTTGGAAACATGGTTCTCCAACCTAGTATGACCTCATGACCCCTGCCTTTGCCTGCCAAGTGCTGGGATAACACATACTCACCACCACAGCTGGCTTAAGCTTTTACTTCATTTTTACTCTTACTGGCTAGTGGTGCTGGAGATGGAATCTAAGTAAGAACTCTTCACTAAGCTATATTCTCAGCACAACATGGTTCGTTTTTATATAAAAAATATAGAGAATTCATATTAACAAGTTGTATATATTATTTCTAGTCTTAAAAGATAAGTTCTAATACAAAGTTCTAGTAAGTTAACAAGCCTTCCTTCCTTTCTTTCTCCCTTCCTTCCTTCTTTTTTTCAAGATAGGGTTTCTCTGTATAGACCTGGCTATCCTGGAATTCCACTCTAGATCAGGCTGGCCTTGAACTCAGAGATCCACCAGCCTTTGCCTCCCAAGTGCTGGGATTAAACCAAAGTCTGAAATTTTGAACATCAAAGATTAAATTGAGAAATGCTGTCCACAGAAGAGAGCTAAGATTTGAGGGATTGAGGGATTAAAAATAATAGATTTTTCAGCTTATCTGTAGTTTTCAATTTATAATAAAAATTACTTGTGAATTATTTATATACTTTAAATTATCTTTAAAATATAATATAATGCATAACTTCTTATATCAGTAATTCTGATCAGTTGGTTCTTCAACAAGAAGCTATGCTTTCCAATTTTCAGATATTTAACATCTCAAAACCACTTTTTATTGACTTAGACAATTTAAAAGTTTATAGAAGTCAACCTGAACACAAGCAAGGCATCTCAGAGATGTCTTCATATCTTGACAAAGCCTTACATACTCGGTGCTTCTTCCCGTTCATTCCCCACTGGGGGCTTTTTTTTTTTTTTTTTTTTTAAGATTAGATGTTCTGGCAGTTTACCCCACTTGCTTTCTACCAGCACACGGGAAATGATGTAATTTTTGATTGGTTGATTTTATGAAATGCTTTCACAACACATTAACTCAAATCTTAACTGTAAGCCTATTGTCTCTAACTATACAGGTGGAGGCTTTCTTATCAAGAAATCCCAATCACTGCCAATCAAATTGCGTGTTTCTATGTCAATGTCAGAAGAGTTTGGAAGTCATGAAGATCTAACTCAACTCATCTGAAGAGAGTAATGAGTCCTGTATAGCGACTGTGATTAGAAAGGGAGATGGCTCTCTTCTGGAAATTTATTCTTGGAAAGTTCTAGAAGTAGAAGGAAAGGGAAAGAGAAAAGCAGGCATTTCCTAGCAATAGCCAGGGACCCTCATGCCCTTTGGCCATTTATATATTTTTAAGAAATGCTGAGAGAACTGAAGTACCTCTCCTAAGTCCCCTTAAGTGGTACAGAGGTACAATAGGGAGTCAAGTTACAGCCACAGAAGCCAGGTGTGTGCCTGTGACCACTGGGGTGGAGGCTGAAGGAGCCTGGGGTATGAGACCCAGCCTCAAAAAATGCCTCTCCAAAGTAAAGCTACATCCAGTGCCCTATTGCCACAGTCTGCACAGAATCTGTGTTTCTTCTACACGTCCTGCTTGTTGATTCTCTCTGTGAAACTCTCCACCCTGAATAAAATAGAGGATGTTCTTCTGCCTCAACTAAGAATGAGTCATGTGTATCTGCTTGAATTCAGAGTTGGTGGTAGGGACAGTACCACAAATGCCCCTGTAATGGATACCCATTATCACATTTGTAGTTGTCTTATGTCATGTTATACCTAACTTGGATTTGAAGATTCTAATGGAGTAGTATTATCTAAAAGTCTTCCTCAAAGGAGTTGGCAAGATGACTGAAGCCCACAGTAGGAGAAAATTGACTCCCAAAAGCTGTCCCCTGACCATGGTACATGTTCTTCCTTCACAAAATAAATACATGTTATTTAAAGAGAAATCTCTTCATATACTTTGGTGCTTTTTTTTTTTTTTTTTAAGCTACTTATCCTGGAATCTAAATACTAAAGAGTTTATATTCCTGACATTTCAGTCAGGTTGTGATTATGCACACTAAAATGGTAAAATCCACCTTCCACCAAAAAGATAAAAAGAAAGAGCAAGGAAAGTTCCCCCAAGCAACGGAATTAGTGGGTTACTTGGTTCTCCTGATACTCACCACAGTCAGGGTATTAAAGCCAGCTCTCCCAAGCAGATGTCCTAGGTCATTCACAGCAGTGAAAGGAGAAATGTGTGGGGAAAATCCTCCTTCCCTTTCTGTTTCTGCCAACTGTAATGAACACCGAAGTTCATAGAGCGTGTCACCTCCAAACATCGCACCGACAAACACCCCATCTGGTTTTAAGACATAATGAATCTGTAATAAATATAACAAAACCATTCAAATTTTACAGACAGAAACATCAAAACAATAAGTGTATCCAAATTAATATTTTACGACTACCAATTTTATTTTGCCAAATAAATAAGAAAAAGTAAAAAACATCGTGCTGTGTGGTAATGTTGTATAGTAAAATATAAAGACAGACAATATAATCATTAATGGCACTGGTATCTATAAGATGATGTGTGTTTTCAAATTTTATATAATACAAGTTACTTTTTACAGGAACAAAATACAAGAAAAAAACATTTCAAGAATGATAGCTCACCAAAATTATAATTCTTCCTGTTTCTGACCTCTGAAAAGTTAAGTTTTTAAGATGTCCCACTAACAGATGGAATTTATTTCCTACTCCTTGAATCTGGGCTGAACCTGCTGCCTGGGATTTATTTTGGCTAAAGAAATGCAGTATAAGTGACAGCTCATGAGTTTTGGCCTGGTTTAGGTCAGTTCTCACATGGCGCTGCATGCTTCCTTCAACTGTTCTACTGGAACACCCCTACTGGGCCACACACCATCATCTACCCACCATTCTCTGATCACTGATAAACACCAATCTACAAGCATTTATCTAACATTTGCTGAGAGTAATACAAAGGACAGATACAAATATAAATTCCCATGTAGAAAAAGTTCACAAGCAATAAAGGGAGAGAAGGAATTTTAACATACAATATGCTTTGTAGTTGGTCAGCGGTGGTGCATACCTTTAATCCCAGCACTCAGGAGGCAGAGGAAGGTGGATTTCTGAGTTCAAGGCTAGCCTGGCCTACAAAGTGAGTTCTGGGATAGTCAGGGCTGCATAGAAAAACCCTGTCTCAAAAACAAAAAAACAAAAACAAGCAAATGAATATGCTTTGTGATAAGAATACTGTTTTACACAGTAATTAAATCTTTCATTAATATAAACATCTCTACAACCAAATATTGTTAAAGTTCTCAAGAAATGTCACCTAATGTATCTGTAAGTCAAAGAGAGTACCAAGTATATACCCAGTCCACAGAACATTGTAAATTTTCTGTCACACTTACAAACAGTGAAAACAGAAACATTTGTGATAATAAACTAACATAGAACTGGGCCAACATAAGCTTTCTCACCTGTTCAAGTGCTCTAGGAAGGTCATTCACCCAGTGCAAACTAAAATAGAAACACATAGTGGTTTAAACTTAAAAAGTATAATTATCACTAGGCTACACCACAAAAAAAGTATTAAACTTTGAAATCTGAAATTAAATTGTTCTCTACACTTCTACAACTCTAATCTTTTTACTGTCTCCATACTTTTACTTTTTCCAGAATGTCATACAGTTGGAACTGACATACACAGCTTTCTGAACAATCTTTCATTTGGTAACATGTCTTTAAATTACCTGCATTCTGTTCATGTTTTAACAGCTTACTTCTTTTTAGTGCTAAATAATTCCATTGTCTCAATGTACCACAATTCAACCACTTAGTGCTGAAGGGCATCTGTGCTGGATGACACAAGCTAAAATTGTCTGAGAGGAGAAACTCAATTAAGAAAATGGCTGCAGATAATAAGATTGGGCTGAAGTCAAGTTTGTAGGGCATTTTCTTAATTAGTAATCAATGGGAGAGTGCCCAGCACACGGTGGGTGGCGCCACCCCTGGGCAGTTGTTCCTGGGTTCTATAAGGAAGCAGACTGAACAAGGCAGTGGGACAAGCCAGGAAGCAGCACTCCTCCATGACCTCTGCATCAACTCCTACCTCTGGGTACCTGGCCAGCTTGAGTCCTGCACTGTATTTTGATAATGAACTTTATACCTAATGGAAACTGAAATAAACCCTTTCCTTCCCAAGTTGCTTTGGTCATGGTTTTTTAACACAACAACAGTAATTCTGACTAAGACAACATCTTTGTTGCTTCCAAGTTTTAGCAATTAATAACACAGTTGCAGTAATTAAAAGCATTTATTGCTCTTGCAGAAGACCTGGTTCAGTATTTAACACCCAAATGATAGCTCACCAACCATCTGTAGCTCCAGTTCCAGAAAACTCTGCATCCGCTTCTGGCCTCCATGGGACCAGGCATGCATGTAGTACACATATAGTATATATACATATATAAAATATACATTATATATGTGTATGTGTAATACATGTATATACACACACACACACATTTAAAATACTCACATAAAATAAAAAATACATCTAAGAAAGTTTTAAAGAGTAATGTATTGTTCATGTTCATGATTTTGCATGGATATAAGCTTTCACTTCTTTGGCTATATACCAAGGAATATAAATGCTGGAACCTAACAAAGTATGTTCAAGTTTTCAGGAAATGATCAAACAGTCTTTCAAAGTGCCTATATCATTTTGCATTCCCACCAGCAATGAGTAATAAGAGTTCCTGCTGCTTGACTTCCTTGCCAGCAGTTGGTGTTGTGTTTGGATTTTTCTGATTTTAATAGATAGTACATCCAACGTCTTTTAAGATGATGGAAATCAAAACAACAAAACTTTCTAAACTATCACACAAGAAACCTTTAAATCTCATGTTTTCTTGCTGACCCTATTTATTCTGTCATGTGTGACAGCAAAAGAGCTTTAGCAAGCTGCATGTAGAAACTTGGGAATAAAAAGAAACTTAAGACACTACATCATATTTCCACTAAGGTGTCCTGAATCTATAATTGTTAAACAGAAGAATCTTAGTTTATAAACTAAGATAAGCAGTTTGTAACTAAAAAGAACTTACTCTATCACAGTGAAGAATATAGCTCAAAAACAAAGTGCTATCTTAGGTTTAATGGGGGGGGGGGGATATATTAACCCATTATCCATTGCTATCCTAAGAGTAAAATGTTACAACATAAACTACACCTATTTGTAACATATATACACACATACATATGTGTGTTTATGTGTATACACATGCATACATGCCTACACATGTGTGCACGTAGAGGTCAGGGGCTAACCTCATGTTTGTTTATCAGGTTCCAACCATACTGTTTTTTTAAATAGCATCTCTGGAACTCATCAAGTAAGACTGAGCTGTTGCTGGCCAGGAAGACCCAGGGATCTTCCTGTTAGCGTGCCTCTCTAGAGCTGGGAGCATATGCCACCATGCCTGTCTTTTATGCGGGTTTTGTGAATCAAACTTACGTCTTCATGCTTATGCAGCAAGCACTTTACCAACCAAGGTGTCTCTCCAGCCTCAGTGACATAGTTTCTAAAAAAACAAATGAATTACTAACCTTAAGCTGCTAACCACCAGATCAAATGTGTTTTCTCGGAAGGGAAGGAATTCTTCATCGGCTAACACATTCACGGTAGGAATATATGTTTGTAAGGAATTTTTCTAATGGTAAAAAACAAAAGTTCAACATATTTGTATAGAGTTTCAATTACTAACACAATCACTGTTCAACACTGTTAATGTTATATTCATTCAGAAGTTTCTAGCATAAAATAAAACACAAGATGTGGCACACAAAAGGCAGTCCAGAATCTTAAATAGCACCTACCTGCTTCAAAAAATGTAAATACCACCCACACTAAAACATTGGCTACTGAACATTTCAGTGCAACAAATGAAGCCACAAAGCACTAGATGTAAATCTGGGTGAACAACTTTTATACTCTTACAATCTTTTAAAAACCTATACAAACATGACTAAAAAGGTGGAACCTGTAAATAGGAAGGAAGGAGGGAGGGGGAAAAGGCGAGGGAGGAAGAAAGGAGGGAGGGGGAGGGGAAAAGGGAGGAAGTAGGGAGGGGGAGAAAGGGTGAGAGGGAGGAAGGAGGGAGGAACAAAGGAAGAAAGGAAGGAAGGTAGGAAGGGTGGAAGGGAGGGAAAAAATAAAAGAAATACCAACAAGGGGCTGGAGAAATGGCTCAGGAGTTAAGAGCACTTTGTGCTCTTTGCAGAGGACCCAGGTTTTAAATTCCCAGCATCTGGAGAGGCTTACAGCCTTGAAACTCCAGTTTCAAGGAACTTAATGCCCCTTTTATGGTTTCCTCAGGCACATGGTACACACACATACAACCAGGCAAAACATTCATACACCCAAACTAAAAACAGTTTTGAAAAAGAAACACACCCACACCCACACAGCGAGACAAAGAGACAGAGAAAGACAGAGACAAGAGAGACAGAAAGATACTGGCTGACTGACAAATGGCCAAAATCCAATAATTAAGCTATTGATCCACAGCTATTTCACTGAACCAGTAATCACAGATAGAAAAAGTAAAAAAGGCAATTAATTTTTTTTATTTATCAGATAAACAAAAACAAAAGGGGCTGAACCAGGGTTGCCAAAGAAAAAAAAGAAAAAAGCACTTTCATGTAAAAACCCTCATCATGTTTCTAGGAGAATCTGGAGATATATACTGAACATGAAAAATAAATAAATTATACAAAGAATTTAACTCCAGGAAAAAGTAAATAAACCAAACACACACAATTACTTTACTATTTTAACAGCACAGGTGGCTACTGAGAATCCAGAACTGCAGCAGGCTTCCAGAAGCTGCTCAGTTAAATCTACTATGTGATGCTCACATATTGGCAGGCTATGTGGTCATTTTAAAAATGGCACGCACATAAATAGTATTCAAAGAGAACAGAATAACATTCCATAAAATGGGGGGTATGTTAATGTAATATTGTTCACATGACCTTGGGAAATGAAGGTAGTTCATGTTTATAAAGATAGGAGGCCAAATGTTACCAACAGCTATCTCTGTGTAGGAAGATTAGGAATCTCTTTTCTTACTGCATACCCTGTATTGTCTGAATCTTCTTCATGTGTATATATAACAATTACACTTACATTACATTGTGAAAGAAATAAAGAACTAAAAATTATACCAGGAGGTCAGAAAACAAAGAGTATTATTAAAAAGCTACCTACCAAAGCATGTTCTGCAATGTCTGTTTGGAAAATCTTTCCCACAGTCTCCTGCAATGGGATAATCAAAGCACAGCAATTACTGAAACTTCTAAGGTTGAAATTATAATTTTCAGTTTTGTAATGTCATTTTCTGAACAATTCCAGTATGATATGCAAGTTCAGAAGACATAATGATTAGCACAGTTTTAAACACATGGAACTAATTATATTAATACATTTAACTTATTTAACAAAATAGAGAACACATCCTACTCTACTTTAATATTATGCAAGCTAGTCTCCATACTCTTGTGATAAAAGGACTTAGAACAGATTCCTGCTTTCAGTTTCCACTCAAAAAGTTTATTAAGAGAACGCAAGAAAACACACTTCACAGAAACTAAGGGGCTCACTTCCCTTGTTTCAATGATCCTCTCTTCTTTTCAAGAGTAAAAGGGTTTGAACTACCTCTGCCCCACATTGAACTTTCCCACGTTGCTCTTTTCTCCAGGATCCTGCTCCCTCCAATCTTACCTCCCCTGATCTTTAATCTGTATCTGCTGGTCTCATTTTCTCACCAGCTTCCCAATCTTGGGAAAACTATTACCTGAGCCCTTTTTGATTTTATCTAGTTTTACTTGTGTATTATAAACATATAGTTGATAAGTTTTTTGCTTATAATTCAGGACTCTACTCTAATTCAGGTCCACAATTCTTGGCATCTGTCACTGCTCACTGAATCGCCCTCTAGAGGTGGCTCATGGTCTAAGCATGAGCACAGCAGTCTGTTCTCATTAAGTAGGTTCTGGTCGTCTCTCTCTATATCCACAGCACCACTGAGGTTTCCAGGAAATGATTTCTATTGTGGCTTCCCTCTTCTGTTAGAGAAACTGCTACCTTTCAGTTCACAACACATTCACTTTCTTCTGCTCACAGCTTAGCAAGTGTATATCTTACCAATATTTTTTAGGCAGTAAAGAGGAGAAAGAGAGCACTGTTAGCTGAACTGCTTACTGATTTCCATGGCATAGCTACTCTGATTGAGGTACTTGCTATTCACACTACTCGATGCAGTCAATTTCCAAGATGTGACTATTTCTGCTATAGCTGATAACAATGCAATGTTATTGAACAAAGTTGGGGAAGAGCTAACAATTAGCTCTCACATGCGGTGATATCTTGTTTGTTCTCTAACAAAGAAAGCTTGCCTGGAGACCAGAGTGCAGAGCTAGCAAGTAGTTAACCATAGAGGCCAGGCAGTAGTGGCACACACCTTTAATTCCAGGACTTGAAATCTCATTAACTCTCATTGTACTTCAATAAATGTTTTACTTCCTATAGCATTTGTTATTGCCAATAGTAGTGTTTGGGGAGTCTCACAATTCCCCTGCAACTCAGCCCAAATATATGTTTTATCAATAAAGATTTTACTTAAGAAATCCCAGGGGCTGCAATATGGCTCAGAAGTTAAGAGCATCTTCTGCTCTTTCAGAGGAGTCAAGTTCATTTGCCACCCATGTCAGGTGATTCACAACCATCTGTAACTCCAACCCCAAGGGAACTAATGCCTCTCATCCCTGTGGGCACCTGCACAAGGGTGCACATGCCAACATTCTCACCTACACATAATAAAAAACAGGACAAATTTTTTTTAAACCCCATTTTAATCTCTGTGTGTAGCACAGTGTCTTACTCACAAATGAATGAATGTATTTAGAGTTTGCAGTGATTTGAGTAAGAATGGCTCCTGTATGTTCACAGATATGAATGCTTGGTCATAAGGGAATAGCTCCACTTAGGGATTAGGAAGTACAGCCCTTGTTGGAGTAAGTATGGCTTTGTTGGAGGAAGTGTGTCATCAGGGGTGGGCTTTAGGGTTTCAAATGCTCAAATCAGGTCCAGTCTCTCCTGCCACCTGCAGAAACCATGTGGAACTGGGGCTGTGTGGAGTGGGCCAATGTCAACTCCGTGACCCCAGTTTCAATGGCCCCAACTGCTGAGACTCATTCTAAACCATTCCCGTTCCCTTTATAAGCAAGCGCCTCCTGCCTCTTCTCTCTTCTTTCCATTTTTGTTCCCGATCGGTTAACAACTATCCCTCCCTTTGCTGCCTTTCCCAATAAACTCCATGTGGGTTTGTTGAATTTGGTGGATTGTGTTTCATCACCCACAGCTGCAGCAAAGAACAACAGTAGGCCTACAAGAGACCCTGTTTCAAGAAGACACAAAGATGGATGGCACCTGAGGAGAGCACCTGAGGAATGGCACCTGTGCTCTGACTTCTGTGTGCATGAGCACACATGTCCCCACACACTCAAAGGTTCCAGGCATGCTTGTGCATGGGCGCGCACACACAGTTGGTCAATTTTATTTTCCAAAGTTGAGTAAGCCAGTGTATAAAATACCTTATTCAAATGTTGGGCTATGTAGCCTCTTCCACATCCCACGTCCAGTGCAAGGGGAAAATCTCTGAAAAAAATAAAGAAGCTAAACTTTGCAATACAGTCCATAAAATAATCAAGAACTAATTTTCTTAAGTAAACACAGTTTAGTAACTACACCTTTCAGGAGCCTTGCAATACCAGTTGTATCTAACAGAAGATATAATGCATAGAGCAAGTATGTTTGATCTAGTCACTAAATCACAGACCCTAATACTGAACCATGAAGACCCAGCCTTAGGCAGGGGATGTAGGTCATCAATCAGTACAGCACCTAGTATGTGTGAGTTCAAACTCTACCAGCACAAACAAACAAAAAGGTTTAGACATGAATATGAAGAACACACTCAGCAAAGGTATCAGAGTTCAATCAAACAAAGACTGAAAACAAGCTAAATGTAAATTAACATGGAAAAAGTGGCATTACTTAGCAGTGAACTGATGATTATCTTTACTTCTCAAATGCTTTGAAGCAGGAAAATACTTATAGAAATGAGTTCTACACCTTTAGTCCCAGAACTCAGGAGGCAGGGACAGGCAGATCTCTGAATTCGAGGCCATCTTGGTCTACAGAGCAAGTTCTAGGACAATCTCCAAAGCAATAAAGTGAAACCCTGTCTCGAAAAACCAAAATAAAATAAAATAAATGTGTTCTACTTTCCATGTGAAATGTCATAAAGCATTTTTAAACTTGGGCTGGGGATACAGCTCAGTGGTAGAGTGCTTGCTTAGCATGTGCAAGGCCCTCAGTACAATCTCCAGCACCACAGGGAAAAAAACAAGTTAAAACATGCCCCTCTAAAAACTCCAAGAATTACTGAAAACATAGGAGTACAGTAAGTTCCAAGTGCCCAGTGCTAAGTAAACTCAAATATCTTCTTTTTCTTTAAATATGTATCTTTTAATTCTTATTTTATACATGTGAATGTTCGGATTGCAATGTATGTGCACCATGTATATGCCTGGTGCCCATGGAAACCAAAAGTGGGCATTAGATCCCTTGGAACTAAAGTTGTGAGCCTCTATGTAAGTACTGAGAACAGAATTCAAGTATTCTGGAAGTGCAACCTGTCCTCTTAAATACTGATCTATCTTCCAGATCCCAACTCAACAAGTAAGCAACAATCATCACTTGAATTCAGTCGATCTGAACCCAGAGCCAGAAGAGTAAACCTCCATATTAGACTAGCTCCTCTAAATTGGGACACACATCAACTGTAAGCCATGGGTTTCTACAAACAGAAGAAAGAACAAGAAGAACTGCAGTTTAATTTTTCTTAAGAATCGCTACCAGAACTGGGTTGGGGGCCAGGGAGAGAGGGAGAAAGAGAGAGAGAGGGAGGGAGGGAGAGCGCTCCATGATTAAGAGCACTTGCTGTTTTTTCAGAGGATCCAGAACCAGTTCCCAATGCCCACATTAGGTGCACTCTTCTAGCCTCTGTGAGCACCTGCACGCACATGGTATGTTATATACACAGCTGCACACATCATCAAAAGCAAAGATTATGGAAAACAAGAACGATTATTGCTTTTACTATGTATGGAATATTTAGCACAGTATAAATGTTTAAGAAAAATGAATTATTTCACTGTTTAATATTACTAAACAGGCCTCATCTCTCAAATTATATTTAAAAATCAGCGTAATTTTTAAAATAATAAAACAGAGCACTGACAATACAACCTACTCTGTGGTTATTTGTTTCTCCTTATGATACAAGGGATGGAAACTGTAGGTTTGTGCATGCTAAGTACAAGTAGCTACAAATCCAGGCCTAAGTACTCTAATAATAGAGTGTCAACACAAGGACATTTACTAGTATTTTAAATAATTTAATTCCAAAATTTAATGTTGAAATTATCCTTTTAGTCATAATCACAAGAATCTTCATGGACTTGGTTTTATTATCCTCAGAGCTAGGGCATAGTTTGCAAACTCCAAAATGAAAAGTGAAAGTTTTACCTCCATACTATTAAAAAAAAAAAAAAAAAAAGGAAACAATAGAACAATGAAGGAGATGTCATTTGCTTTCCCACACAAGAAAGAGAATAGCCGGATATGGCTGTACATGCTTATAATTCCACACTCAGGAGGCTAAGGCACGAGGCTGTGTGAACTGGAAGCCACCCTGGGCTACAGTGAGACCCTATCTCAAAAATCTAAAAAAGAAAGATGTTTGGAGTGATTTAAACCACCAATCCTGGCAATAAATTTCTCAGAGTTGACTATTCCACGTATCAGGTTCTCATTGTTTAATTTCAATTCTCCGCTCAATGGCAGATTTTGTTGTTCACCAGGAGTGGTGGAGCATGTCTATATTCCCAGATGCTCAAGAGGACTGTCTAAGCTCAGTTCAAGGCAAGGCTTAAGAGTTAGAGCGAGACTCTGTTTTGGGAAAGAGAGACAGACAGACAAAGAGACAGAAAGACAAGGAGAGGGAAGAGAGGGAGAAAAAGACTTCATCTTGCCTACCTGGCTATGTCATACACACGGTCTGCAATCTGACTTCCAACCTGAAAGATTTCAAGAATCAATTGGTTAAATACATGAAGTAGATGTGACAGAGGAGTAACACTGATTTTTCCTACTACTCAACTTGTTTCAAAATGCTAAGTACTTTATATCCCATTTTCTATTTTCCCACTGTATTTCTTTATAAATAGTGAATATGGATAAAATACTATAAAACATAAAAAAAAATCCCTGAAAACAAACTGAAACACATTACTTTAGAATGAATTTAATAAGGTCAAGATTAAACTATCTGCTGGGTATGGCAGCTTATGTCTATAGTCCTAGTATTCAGAAGGCCACAAGTCTGGGACCAGTCTGGAATCCATAGTGATACATTGAGTTCCAAGGTAGTACATATTATAAAGATCATTGTCTCAAAAACAACATAAACACAGGGAGGCTAAGGCAGGTGGATCTCTTGAGTTGAGGCCAGACTGGAATATATTACAGTGAATTTCAGGACAATCAGGACTACAGTGAGATCTTGCCTCAAAACAAGCAAAACAAAAATCCACTCTAATCAATCTTAAAAAGTAGGTATACATACGTGGCCTTGTATTCTGTGTAATACAAGAATAAAAAGAAAAGAAACATTGTTCTGAATTGGTTTTTGTCAACTCAACACAAATTCAGACTTTTGGAAGAGGGAATTATTTGTTTTTTTGTTTTGTTTTGTTTGTTTGTTTTTTGTTTGTGTTTGTTTTTCGAGACAGGGTTTCTCTGTGTAACAGCTCTGGCTGTCCTGGAACTTGCTTTGTAGACCTGGCTGGCCTGTAATGCACAGAAATCAGCCTGCCTCTGCTACCTGAGTACTGGGATTAAAGGTGTGTGCCACCACCTCAGGCAAGGAAGAAGGAATCTTAATTGAGAAAATGTTTCCATAAGTAAGATTAGCCTGCAGGCTAGTCTGTAGGGCATTTTCATGGTTGATGTGGGAAGATCCAGGTCATTATGGATGATGCCACCCCTGGGGGATGTGGCCCTGGATGGTATAAGAAAGCAGGCTGAGCAAGCCATGAGGAGCAGGGCGGAAAACAGCATTCCTCTAGGCCTTTTGCTTCAGTTCCTGCCTCCAGGTTCCTAGCCTGACTGACTTCCCTCAGAAATGAAGTATATCTTGGGAGTTGAAAGATAAAATAAACCCTTTCTTTCTCAAGTTGCTTTTGATCGCTCTTTTATCAAAGCAATAGAAACCCCAACTAAGGCAAATACAATTGATATATTAGTACATTGGCATAAGATACAATAAAATAAAAACTATCCATCTGGCTATAAAGACTATAAATCACTTAATAAAAACTTAGTGCAAACTCTGTGTAACATCTAAGTGAATTAACTATGTTTTTGTTTGTTTTGTCTGAGAAAGGGTACCCACAGGCTGGCTTTGAACTCATAACACTCTAATCCCCCAGCTTCATTCAGCCTCCTGAATGCCAGGATCACAGACATGTGTCACCATACTCACCCAATCTACATTAACAACTTTTAATCTACATTAACAGCTTCATTTTTTTTCTCTTAGTAACTTTTGCAAATTAGTAAACACCAACTCTGGAAAAGTGTAGCTGACCAGCTCCCAAGCACAATATAAAAGAAGTTGTATGGTAAGGGCCACCCTTCACTGGGCTAGTGACAGCTGGCTTGAAGTCCACCATTTCACTCAGCCTCTTAAAAACATTCTAGATCTGTGATTACTATTTGAAAGTTCACAATATAGCTGGTTTATTTTATTTTTTGTTTTGTTTGTTTGATTGTTTTTTTGAGAGGATGATGGGTAAGGGATTAGGGTCACTGAAGTCTTTTTCCCTGATCAGCCTTTGTACATCATTCCAAATGGCACTACCTTTTACTTATCTCAAAAATAATTTTCACATACTTTACTGAATATATTCTCGTTCTGCAGTCTCAAGGCATCAGTCAGGCTGTAATCTGGGTGCTTTGAACAGAAAGAGGTACTTAATGAAGGGCCCCTACAGGTCCTTTTTCTGCCTCAGGAGTTCTGTACTTATGTGTTCCTTTTCCCTGGAGACTCGTCCTATCCCATCTCAGCCCGACTCATTTCTCGCACTTTTCGCCATAGCAGCCAGCCAGTCTTGACCATCCTAGTCAACAATACCACCGTTTCACTTTTTCTTCACCTTAACTTAGCTGAAAGTACATTCCTTGTCTATGTGTTTCTCGTGCTCTCTCCTTAATGCTATCCTGCAAAGGCGGGGGGCTGGGGCGGGGAACCGGGGTCTTGCTTTGCGCTGGAACTCAAGCAGAAGCCGTACTTGCCAAGCGAATGAATGACTGCCATGCACAGGTTAACAGAAAGGCCCAGATTCTTCTCAAGGTCACACAGCCGGCTGGAGCGGTCCGCCCAGCCCGGCACCGTGCCTCCCTTTGCCCCGACCCGCAGTCTCACCTCCTCCTTCAGGTAGTCAAATTTCATGGGCTCAGGCTGCCGGGCTGCCCAGTTCTTCTGCTTTCTCTTTAATTCCCGGTCGAAGATGTTGACTGCTCTGGGCGAGGTGGTGCCCGAAGGAGGGACACCGGAAGCCACCTCCCTGCGACCACAGCTTCCAGCGGGGACCGCCGGGCCCCCAAACCGAGGGCGTAGACGCCAAAGCACGCCAGGTCGCAGCATCTTCATCCCTGGCGCCACAGCAGGGCTTAGTTTCTGTTTGTACGCATGCCCCGGTGAGACTACGGCTAGCACAATGACACAAAATTGTTCCAAGAGGAAAAGACAAGGCTGAAGTAGTTTGGTCTAGTTCGCGTGCCGTTACGGCGGAGCGCCACGCAAAGGATTGTGGGCATGCTCTCCATGTGAGCCCAGACCGGGATCCGAGTAGAGAAGTGCGGAGTTGTCGGTTTTCCGACAGGATCTCCTTGGGATTTGTGAGTAGTGTAGTGCGCCTATTACTTGGCCCCTTTCTGGCCTCGTTGTTCTCTTCAGGGTTGCTGCTCGAGGACCCTCAGCCGAGCTACTTTCCCAGAAAGTTTGGGAGGTGGGAGGGTCGTTCCGGGATCAGCCAGCCTGGAGCTCGCAGGCCCGAGGATGATGGACTGCAGGGATGCGGGGAAGCGTTTGTAGTGAGGTCCAGTTGCTTTCGCTCCTCTGAACATCCCAAGTTTGTCGAGGGCTTCAGTTTCCTACATTTGCAAGCATTACCCCTGATTTTTGGGTGAGGAGGTGTTTATATCGCAAAGCTAGGTATTCAAGGGGTAAATTCAGTAATGCATCTGACATTTGTAAGCGCATTCGTGAAGTTTTCTGTTTTTTCTCGTAAGAACGTAAAGGGCTTTGAAGTAAAGCAGCCCTGGCCTAAGTGATGGCGGCGCACACCTGTAATCGGGAGACTAGCCTTTCGAGGCTGGTCTAGCTTGTTGTAATGTCGTACTGTCGCAGAAGTGTCGACGTAATACTGTCTTGTATGGTTAGTCAGCTTTCATTCTTCCAAAGACTTCTGACTTCCTGCAAATTATGGAGGAACCAAACTATCAGAGACTGTTTACAAGGGAGAACAGTATGCATTTGTACAATATATGTGCGTTTTCATATGTTTATAGCAGATCTAGACCTTAGTCACTTCGAGAATAAAATGTTATAAGAAACTGACATTTGGGCCTGGAGAGATGACAATTGGTGGTTAAGAGCACTGACTACGCTTCCAGAGGACCTGGATTCAATTTCCAGCATCCATATGATAGCTGACGGTCTGTAAAACAAGTTACAGGGGAACGGAACTCATGGGGCCTCCGTGGGCACCAGTCACAGAAGTGGTACTCAGATTTATATACAGACATCACACCCATACTAATGAAAATTTTTAAGAAAAAGAAAGTGACAATAATTGTAGTGTGAGACTCTAATTTGGCTCTTGATAGAAGGATTTACTTTGAGGTGAATCTGATTTCCCCACCACCACCATTAGTTAGGAGACAGATTATTTTAGAACTAAAAGCTGTTGAAGTATGAAGTAATGATTAACAAAGAGAATAGAACGAGAGTATGAAAAACAAATGGGACCAACTAAGTTTTGAGAATCTTTGTTTTTCTGTGTGTGTTGCCTGTGCAGTTGCTCACACCAAGCCACATACCCATGCACTTTAGTGCTCATATGTTTGGGAGGATGCTTGTTTTCCACTTTATTTTTTTAAGATAAGATCTTTCATTGAAACTTGAAGCTACTCAAGTAAGCTAAGTTGGGGGACCAGGGACCCTCCTGCCTCTGCCTACCCAGCCACCCAGCAATGGGAATATAGGCATGCAGGATTTTTATATGTGTTCTAGAGGATCAAATCCATACCATACTTGTGCAGCAATCACTTCACTGATTGAACTTTCTCCCAAGTCTTGGTTTCTTGAAACAGCATTACTATCTAGCCCAGGCTGACCTCAATTCCCTGTGTAAACTATGTAAGGTCTGGCCTCAAACTCACATTAATCTTGACTCTGCCTTCAGAATCCTGGTTTTACATGTGTGTGACTCCATGCTCTAGTGATCTTTTAAATTGATGACAAATCAGCTGCTAAAACTGGCCTTAGGATTCTGTTTGTTTTGTCTTAAATTTATTTAAGTGATCTGTAATGTAAGGATTATATTTTTTTATGCTTCATCCAGAATAGGTTGGGTAGCTGAAATTAAATTTCCTTAATTTTATGTACATTTAGAGAGAGTGTGCGTGTACATGTGTGGGCGTGTATCTGATCAACACGTGCGGTTTTGTTTTTTACATTTTAATTTTATTATTAACCATTCATCATTGTAATACTTATTTGTTTTTTAGTGTTTGGTTTTTCTGGATATTTCTTCAGTAAGACTTTAAAAATGTCATCCAAAGAAGAAATAATGAATGACCAGCGGTTTAGGCGGGTTTCAAAGGATCCCAGATTTTGGGAAATGCCAGAAAAGGACCGAAAAGTCAAAATTGACAAGAGGTTTCGAGCCATGTTTCATGACAAAAAATTTAAATTGAGCTATGCTGTTGATAAAAGAGGGCGCCCTATTAACCACAGCACTACGGAAGACTTGAAACGTTTCTATGACCTTTCAGACTCGGATTCTGATCTCTCTGATGAGGAAAGCAAAGATCTGAACCAAAAGAAAGTAAAGCAGAAAAAAAAACATACCGGAAAAGAAGTGAAGTCAAAAGTGCTGAGTGAGGAGAAAAAGAAGAAAACCCAAAAAATTGATCAAAAGGATCCTATAAATAAAAATGAGTTAGATAATTCTGAAAGAATTCAGAAAATGAAAAACTCATGTAAGTCTCAGAAGATAGATTCAGAAATAAGTCCCAAGAAGGATAGTGAAGAATTTCCGCAAAATAAAAAAGGGAAAAAGAATATTACTAACCACAGTACAGACTCTTTACCCAAAGGAAAACCAAGGACCAAAGATTCCAGTTCCTCAGAAATTGTGAAATCTCCAACAGTCGCTTGTTCTAAGGCAAAAAAAGAAAAGCAATCAGGTTAGTTGGAAGTACTGATTCTTCTGTATTCACTATTTTACTGTTACCTTTTAAAGAAGTAAACGGTTATTTTTGTAGTATGATGAGTATAGTCAAATGTTTATTCTAAAATATAAAGCTATGAAAGAAGCAATGTGCAATGATTTCTTGCTTTGGTACCAGAAGACAAACATAAAAGCTTGGGTAAATGATTTTGGTTTCTAGAGAGCAATGCTGAGAGCTGCTGTATGTTGTTATTTAGGAAGAAATGTATTTGAACAAGGTAAGTAGAGTTGGGTATTCATTCATTTAGTTCATTCAGCTACTGAGAGATAACCACTGTAAGGTGTGATCCCCTCCTTTAGAGTTATTGCTAGCTTAAGTAATGGTTTTTGCAAATTAAAAAAAAGTCACATGTCCTCTGACCACAGAGACACAGGGTGATCTGGGGTTCATAGTTTATAAAGGATGGCAATTTTGAGTGAAGCAACATGTTGGTTTCTCTTTAGCAATCACAGCTTCTACAGAGTGTATGACTTGCCGAATGGAGATTAGATTTGGTCTTAGCTCTTCTTTCTCTTTTGTAGATGCCCTTAAGCAGATACCTGCTAAATTCTGTGTGATGATGCTGTTCTAGTGGCGCTGTCCTCTAGAAATACATAGTAATGACCTTCCTAGTAGTGGCATTAAAAAAGGAAGATACACAGATGAAATAATTTTATTTATATCTAGTAAATATAAATTTCACTTCTTTATAATTATTGATAAGAAATTGATACTTTTGCATTCTATTTTAGTATTAATCTCAAGTTAAAAGAGTCATATTTCAAGTGCTAAATTGTCTCCTTTGACTGTTTGCTACCATATTGGACAGCATAGACCTAAAGCAGAAAAGTCAAACCTGTAATACAAAGTATTGTAGCAGGAAGGGTCATAAGTGAAATTGAAAAAAATGAAAAGTGGCTACTCAAAATATAATCAGAAAAATTTCTAAGGAATGCATTATTTGAATTGAGATTGGGGGGGGGGAGGTTTGGGGTTAAGTTTGAGAACCAAAGAACTTTTTGAGGAAATTTAGAATTGGATGTCTATAGATCAGTAGTCCCAGTCTGTTAGACAGTTAAGTCTTAAAGAGGTTTGTAGTTTTGAGCCGAATAATATCTGCAAAATCTTACTATAAATACCTCCCTGTATCCTGGCTGCTGATGAATGTCTGTAATCCCAGAAGTTTGAAAGGTAAGTAACAAGGATCAGGAGTTCTAGGTCATCTTCAACTACAGAGTGATCTTGAGGCCAGTGTGGACTGCATGAGACCCTGTTTTAAATTAAAAGCAGGCAGAATGGCTCAGCAGGTAAAGATGGTTTGCTGCCCTGCAACCTGAGTTTGATTCTCAGTATCCATGTAAAGGAGGAAGTAGAGAACTAACTACACAAAAATGTACTGACCTCCACATATGACATGTGTGCCTCTTCCCCACCCCTCATGCACAAGCACATCGTGCCCCAGACATGCAAACAAATTTTTTAAAAAGCTGTTTGTTTGTATGTATGGATATGTTCTACAGAGGTCAAAGAAGAGGGCATTGGAACCCTTAGCACTCGAGTTACAGGTTATAAACCACCATGTGGGTATTGGCAACGAAACAAAGATCGACATAGTCATAACCACTGAGCAATCTCTCCTGCTCCCCTGTAGACAAGTTCTAATGCCTCAATATGGTGCATTAAATTCATTAATGTGGTGCAATATAGATTCATTAATCAATAATTTCTCTATGATCCTATCAAGAATCATGAGTGCTTATAAACCCCTCTTTTACCTTCCCCTAGTTCAGTGTTTTAGGCAATAAAAGTATTGGATTAATGAATGAATACTATAAAAACTTAGTAGTAAAATAAAAAATTCATCCCTCATCTTTTTTTAATGTGGAAAGTTTATTAGGGTAATGGAAGAGGAGGGAGAGAGCAAGATAGAAAGAAAAGGAGAAAGAGACTGTGACCTGCCTCTTCAAAGAAACAGCAAAAAAGATCATTCTTCATCTTAAGTTTTAAAATTTACTTTTCACTCTCCAAACTTAGAGCCTCTTGAGTAAGCTAAAAAAGGAATACCAGCTCGAATAGAGTATATGCAGAAGTGATTGCTTTTAGAAGTGGGATCCTAGCTCTTTCAGAGTTTTGAAAGGAAAATGAAAT